AGGTTGACAACCAGCGCCCTAGAGGAAGATATCACATATTATGATGCATATCCCAGTAACAGTGATGGGCACTTTGTGAATGCGGTGAGATGTCAAAGAGCTGGGAATGTAAACAGACCGGACAGGCAGGGGTTGGGGCAACACTGGAGCGAGGGAGTCATTCATGTCTCGATGCCCCCAGGGCAGTGCCCTAACTGCTACACCCTCTTGCCTCCCAATTGCTTTCATACTTGTCCATATATGCCATGAATGTCATAGCATTCATGGCATATATGGACAAGAGCATAGCATAGGCAAATGTTCCTTCCCCATTCCCAGTCCTCGCTCGTGCCTGGAAGATCATCCCTATAGAAAACACCAGCCTCATTTAACCTGCTGGATTATGGCATTTGGGACAGAAAATAACACTTCTTCATTAATATTTTCCACCTACGTACACTGTATCATCATCTCAAAGTACTTCTGTATGCATCCTAGCCCATTTATCATCATTAACTTTGCTCTTAACCCCATTTTACAGTAAGTCTGGCCCCAAACCAAGAAGGGAGTCGCTGCGAACAGAACGCAGAACAGCCCTGTCCCGTCTCCCTCCTTCGACTGACGTGTGATCACCCCTTATTGTATCCCAGTTTGTTCGGGATAAATCTGCAGCCAGAAAAGGGGCTGATAGAGGTTATTTCTTTCAAAAGAGGACGGGGGTCTTGGACATTGCCAGCTCCTTTAAGGGAGACGGCGAGAACCCGGCGGCGTGCAGCGTTCTGCGGCGGCTGGGCCGAGATGGGGCTGTCCCTTAGCAAAAACCGGACGGCGCCCGGGCATGGGGGACCTGGCCAGAAACCGGGGACCAGGGAAGCAAGGATTACGTGGCTTCCCTCTCACCTCTGCATAGGTAAGGGGGGCCGAATCCAAGAGACAGGCTTCCTTGGGATGGGAGGGATCAGGGAGGCCGGGACGCCTGGGTTCTAGTCCTGTGTAGTCTCAAGGCAATTACACATCGCCCTGCCTCAGTTTCCCCATTCGTAATAACGGGTGCACGAGAAGAGTTGAGCTTGTGCTGCCAGCAGTAATAGTAAGTGCAGTCTGAAGAAGTGGGGCCTTTGGAGACTCTTGCTCATAAATAAAAAACGAGGTTGGGTATCTCACAGATGCTCGGGAACAGCGGACCCACTCCCCGCTGGCATCGAAAGCCCTCATTCTGGGCTGTCATGATCCAGCCATGAGCTAAGCAGGGCTGGCTGGGTCCGTAGGAAGGTGGAGAGCTACACACCGCAGAGGGGGCCGAATTTGCTTCCAAGCCAGCCGTGAAGCGTCATCCCAGCACCGTGCGGCTCTGCCCCTGAAGCCCCAGTGCGGTGCCAGGGGCAGGGCAGGAGCCGTGCTGCAGCCGGGGCTGCTTTTCGGACAAGGGGTAAAAACCGAGAGAGGAGCCGTTCACGTCCCCTGGCAGCCGATCCCATCCTGCCGGCCATCAGGGGCTGCGGGAAGACTCCCGGTGCCTTGGGGAAGCATTAGCCTTGCCCCCGGGGGATGACCCTTCACTTCCCATCCCAAACGGCCGGGCAAAAGCAGGCGAATGTGCCTCCTCCGCAGTGCCAGGAGCTCCACGCTGCACCCCGCGCGGCGCCACGGGCCAGCGATCCAAGATACGTAGGTCGGCCTGACTGTGCCACAGCGATGCGGCGCCCTCGGACAGGGAACGCGGGGCTGGCAAAGCTGACTCCCTCCCCCGCCACCTCCGCTGGCCCAGGAAAGCCACCGCGGGCAGGGGCACGACTGCAGCGGTCCAGTGCGACCGGACTGGTTGCACTGGTGTGGTGAGCCCGGGGTCCGGCAGCCCCCACCCCAGAGCTGGCTGCAGCGCCCCAGGCTCCAGCTGCCCCCTTCCCCACCTAAACTGCCCCTGGCTGCTCTATTGCCCTCAATCATACCCCCTCCCATCTCCAAACTGCCCCTGGCTGCTCTACTGCCCCCATAGCCCTCTCCCCCCCAAAACTGCCCCAGCTGCTCTATTGCCCCCAATCACAGCCCCCCTCCAAACTGCAGTACTGCCCCCAGTCATCCCCAATAACTGCCCCCTGGTGCAATTAGCTGCCCCCTCCCACGAGGTGCCGGGGGAGGGAGGGGAGGCAGAGAACCAAGCGCAGGCGGCGAC